GATTTAAACTTAGATTATGTAAACTTAGACCGAGCTCAAGGCACAAAGCCTCAAAATCAAGAATTCACACTATTTAACGGGTAAAATTACAGCCATTTATCGTAAAAAAATTCTGATACATGTTAACATCAACACATAAAATAACCATGATCATCAATAACATCAGCCCCAAATTTCCAAATATTCCAACGCAATGATCGGCAGAGCCATCAGATTGAAACCAAGGAATTACAGAAAATTATCAAAACACAAAACCTAATTTTAACAAAAAAAAATAAAATTCCAACTTATTGATCCTCCCAATTAGGAAGTTTTCCGATTTATAAAAACCTAGACAGAGAAACTAAACTCATGTGATCTTGATAACCGTCAATTCAATTACTTCGGGGCAGCGAAGACGGGAGGAGTACCAAGCAAACTAGCCTGTTGGAGTTCGAGCTCGTTCAACAGCTGCTCGCGTTCAATCTCGATGATGAGCGGAACGACCAGGATAAGGAATGTGGTTCCAGCGATCCAGGCCGCCTTACCGGTGCTCTTCAGGAGCTTCTTGGCTACGAAGGCGGCTCGCTTGCTCCGGTATATGATCGGAGATTGTGCAACTATTGATGAAACCCTAGAGAGGATTCCTCTTTCGTTGCTTTTCTTGCTGCTGTCTGGTCGTTTTCTGATCGACATGGTTGAGAGAGTGAGAGAGGAGTTTGGAAGGACTGAAGTCTGCGGAACAGAGAGGGAGGGTTTTGTGAGGTTTTTGACTTGATTTCCCAGCCTGGGCACTGGATTCGATACATGCCCATTATGGACTCGGGTCGCAAACGCACACGTTCCATGAGCCGTACGGTTAGCAAAGGCATACAGCGGGCTCATGGGCAGCACAGCACTCGAGTAATGTCATGGGCCCTTTTTGGCCCGCTAGATTGTGCTGGCTTGTGAATTATTATTTTTTAAATGACAATTAGGGCTAGATTACAATTTGATCTTCAATATTGCAAAAATTAAAAAATAACCTAAAACAACAAATTCTATGATGCCCAAGTCATAACCTAAAATTTGTATTCCAAATGCATTCGTACCACGCATTCTTTGTTGTGGGGCCTAGAAAATCAACTTTTTTTTATTTAATTTGTGGTGCAAATGTATTTGAGATAAAAATTTTGGGTTCTAATTTGAGTAATATGACCTTTTCTATATTTAAAATTAAAATTAAAAAGGTGATCAAATGCCCATTAGGGGTGAGGACGTCATTCATGTCATATTCTTATAATATGCATGTCGTGTCATTATTATTCGTGTCGTATTCGTGTCAAGAATAAAAAATAATAATTTAGTGTGTTCTGAGTATTAAATATTATTTTAAACTATTTATTATGTGTATTTAACAATCNAAATAATAATTTAAAGTGTTCTGAGTATTAAATATTATTTTAAACTATTTATTATGTGTATTTAACAATCGTATCAATTTTATAATCGTTCATGTTGGATTCGTGTCGAGTTTGTATCAACAGATCATAGTTTGGCACCCCTAATTAAGGGCACTCAATTAGGTAGAACGATAATCACTCTTAGGATTTGTTTCTCAGATATTGGCTCAAGAATAAACACGGACCATTGACTTACAAGCATAATTGGGGTGCGGCTTGTTCTCAACTTTTATTCTCACTCATGGAAAAAATTAAGGATTTAATAATTTTATAGGACTAAAAATGAGTTAATTCCCTTCGATGCATGGTAAAAGGTCAACCAACCCAAGGAAGAAATATTGGGTATAACCGTTGACGAGCCTAACTCCAACCGGGTTAGACCTAATAAACCAAGTAAACTAAAAGGCAAGTCAAGTTCAATTCGCCAATCTGACTCAGTCCAAGACCCAAGGATTCCATAAAGAAAATAGCACATGGGGAGAGATTATTGGGATACTCACTCTTGAAGATCAATGCTATCATAATTGTACTTATCTTTGTAATTATCCTCGCCGAATAATTAGTGTCTTTACCTTCACGTCACCATTTCATCTAAGAGTTTCATGCTTATAAATTATAAGCATTCTCCATTGAGAGAACATCTCACCACACCTCTCTACACACACATAAACTTCTCTCCCCTAGCTATTGTACATCTCCGGGAGCTAACCATTGTTCTCTCTCCCATTTACCCTACTCAATCAATAAAGACCCTCTGCCACCGTTATCGTTTTCTATAGTAGAATAGGTCATCAAAACTGAACCAATATATATTTATGTGTTGACTAAATTTTTACATTACTGTCATTGATTACTTTATTTATTATTTACTAATTACACATTATCACACACTTGACTATTGATCTTGCAAGATACTATTTTGTGCATCATCAGTTTGGCAGCATCTGTGGAAAACGACTAAGTTTTATATTAACTTGCTACTCTCTTTTAAATCTATGGCAATCACGACCAGGTTGATGAGTCCGTAACCGGGAGGAGACTGCCTCCCTTTACACCCTCAGCCCGTAGGAGGAACACCACTTCCTCCAACGGGAGAAGCATAACAACCTCTCCACTCTGAGCGTTATGCAGCCCCTTACCGTGGAGCCCCGTGCTAGAACGCCCCCTGACCATGCCAAGATGCCCTTCGCTCGAGAGTCCCTCCTCAGCGCGTAGGAAGCTCACATGTGTCCCCCTCCTCATGTATCTACGCAAGAGGACGAGGGAGAAAGTCAATATGTCAATCATAACAACCATTACAATAACCCAATTGAGGATGTTCACAACCAATGGGACGAGAAGATCAAGGAGATGCAAAACTAACTCGGTGACTCCTTCAGCGCCATCGAGGCATATGCACCAAAGACAGTAGATTATTTGGTATTTGGTAAGGCGCACTGATACCTCTATTCATTGCAGATATTGTCAACTACCCCCTACCCTTGAAGTTCAAGATGTCTCCCATTAAGATATTCGATAGTACCAAAGACCTTTTGGATCATCTTGGATCCTATAACCACCAACCTGAAGGGGTCTGCTTGACAATGGTTCGTGAAGGTAAAACCCTTTTTTATCCACTTCTTTGCGAAGCTGAGCAAATTCTTTGTCTCTCACAACATTAGGGGACGCCGACATCAAAAGCCTATTATCCACCTACTCACCATCAAGTAGGATCAGGATGAAAAGTCTCAGGAGCTACCTCACTCGTTTCAACTAGGAGATTCTCCAGATTGAAGAGTCAGACGATAAAGAAGCCCTAGCCATTTTCATTGCGGGTCTACGCTCCTTTAGTTTTGTGTTCTCTATCCTCAAGAAGTCGTCCTTGAACATGCCCGAACTGCTGTCGAGGGCACAAAAGTACATAAATGCCGAGGACGTCACCAAAGCCCATCGAGATGAATCCTCCTAAGTGGGAGAGAAAAAGAAGGACACCCGCGAAGACAAGAGGGAGGCAGAGAGCAAAAAATAGAGAACCAAGAGAGCCTCTGTCAAATACCATCTCGGCCCAGTACCCTAGAGAGAATGGCAACCCTTCATGCCACTCNAAAAGTACATAAATGCCGAGGACGTCACCAAAGCCCATCGAGATGAATCCTCCTAAGTGGGAGAGAAAAAGAAGGACACCCGCGAAGACAAGAGGGAGGCAGAGAGCAAAAAATAGAGAACCAAGAGAGCCTCTGTCAAATACCATCTCGGCCCAGTACCCTAGAGAGAATGGCAACCCTTCATGCCACTCAACGCCTTGGTGGAGCACATCCTATTCCAAATAAAGGATGACCCCATGCTCCGCTGGCCCAGAAAAATGAAGTTTTCCCTGAACTGTAGGAGCCCAAACAAGTACTACCATTTTTCACTGCAACCACGACCATGATATTGACGACTACTTTGATCTTAAAAGGTAGATCGAGGAGCTCATACAACGTTGTCAGTTGAGGCAGTAAATTGCTGGTAGAGGACAACTGCCAACGTACTTGTTGATCGGGACCAGGACGACAAAGAATGCTATCAACCCTTCGAATAAATTCTGACAATCTCCTAAGGGCTAGAAGGAGAAGGTGACTCCAACTCCACCAGGAAAGTCTTAGCCCACCTATGGGACATCGAACACCTGAAGATTTTATATAAAATTCTGTGAAGATTATTGTGATCATAACTGTCTTGCTTTCATTTTATAAAGTTTGTAAATAACTTACAAAAGTCAGACCATGACCTTACAACAAAGTAGATAAAAAGACAAAAGTTGTCATATTCATGACGATCAGTCACTACTCCCTGAGCCACTGCCATCAAGTCTCTCTCCGTCATCGTTTACCTCTGGTGCATCATATGGAACGAAGCTAGAGAAATCAATAGTAAGGAAAGCTGTCAAGCCCTTCATAACCGTTAGTAAAGGCGTGACCCTCTCAGCAGCCTCTCTTCTCATCTCCATCTCAATGGAATGAGTCTCTGCCACGATAACCCTCTCCTAAGCTATACATAGCTCAGTCTCAGCTCTAGCGACCTTCTCGCAGGGCGCTTGTAGCTCTGACTCTGTTCTTGCATAAATAGTCATCTTATCAGTATCTAGTTTCGTGCTCTCTCTCGAGTTGCCAAAAAACTCGGCCTAATCTAACCTCTACTCCCAAGCATTCTATGTATCCAGCTTCTTGCGAGCCGCCAAGAAGCTCGACTTAATCCTACCTCTGCTGCTAAGCAGGCCTAATCCAACCTTTGCTCCTAAGCAGTCTATGTATATAGCTTTGCGTTCTCTCGCGAGTCGTCAAAAAGCTCGACCTAATCTTACATCTGCTCATAAGCAGTCTATGTACCCAGTTTCGCACTCTCTTGCAAGTTGCCAAGAAGCTCGGCCTAATCCAACCTTTGTTTCCAAACAGTCTATGTATCTAGCTTCACGCTCTCTCGTGAGTCGCCAAGAAGCTCGACGTAATCCAACCTTTACTCCCGAGTAANAGAAGCTCGGCCTAATCCAACCTTTGTTTCCAAACAGTCTATGTATCTAGCTTCACGTTCTCTCGTGAGTCGCCAAGAAGCTCGACGTAATCCAACCTTTACTCCTGAGTAGNAACTCGACCTAATCTTACATCTGCTCATAAGCAGTCTATGTACCCAGTTTCGCACTCTCTTGCAAGTTGCCAAGAAGCTCGGCCTAATCCAACCTTTGTTTCCAAACAGTCTATGTATCTAGCTTCACGTTCTCTCGTGAGTCGCCAAGAAGCTCGACGTAATCCAACCTTTACTCCCGAGTAATATATGTATCCAGTTTCGCACTCTCTTATGAGTCGCCAAGAAGCTCGGCCTAATTCTATATCTACTCCCGAGCAGCCTCAATTTCTAGCTTAACGCCTTTCTTACGAGTCGCCAAAAATTCGACCTCAATATGTGTTACTCTCTCATGAGCCAACCTCAACTTCTCTTAGCAGCCCCCCCCCCGGTGTTTGCCTCTCTGTTACCAGATGCTTGAATGTCTCTTCAAGCTTGATCATCCTTGAAAAAGGCAAAGAAAAAAGGTAGTCGTCTGTAAGCATTCAAAAAACAGAATATGAAGAAAGGAGGTGAGTATAAAATCAAAGTTGAGAAGAGAGGAATACCGTGGAAGACCTTTCCATCGCAATATTGGTGATGCCCCTTGGACCTCGAGATCTAACCTCTCTGATATCCCTAGAAGTCACAGACCTCCAAAATCGCTCCTTGACCAAAGTAAAGTCAAAACATTGACACCAAGCTACTACTAAAAGCAGGACAGCTGTGTGGAGCTACAGTCCCCATATAAGATCGCATCGGAGTCTCAACTCTTACAGCGGTACAAAGGCTAGCTCTAGTACACACAAGAGTCACAATATGGGAAGGAGTGAGGGCACCACCTGGTCCCATCTCGAGAGAAGTAACCTAACCATCAGACCTTAA